GAGCCGGAAGTGATTTCTCTGGGCTACGTCGGCCACGCGCCTCTACGTGGAAATGACCTGCAGAGTGTGGCAGAACGTCATTTCCGCCGCTGTCGAGTTACGACGCTTCCCTACGTTATGTAAATACCGTCGTCCCTGAATCTCAACGACATCGTCACCCTCCTTCCACTCCGACATCCTTATCCGACGATCGTAAGAATTCGCGACGACACCTTCTTCCTGCGTTTTATCGCCCTGTCGCGATAATCTCGTACGACAAAAGCGACATATAACTTCTGGTCCGTATAAAACGAACCTGCTTCCCTTCCAAAATCCACTTTTATCGAGATTCACGCGGAATTTATTAAAATTTAGCGTAAATTCCTCCGATCTGTTTGTCGAATACTATGATGCGTACTGCGTACATACACCCTCGTCCATGAATATTAGGACAGTTAGAAAAATTGCAGCAAGCGTGAAAAATCATTAGGAAACCTATCAGAATACCTAAGAATTATTACTTCGTTTAGAAGAGTAAATTGTAACAAACCCATAAATTCAATATTATGATAATAAGTTCAGTAATTTAATTACTAAAATAATTATTTCCTTTTCATCACATCAACCATCTCTTTCGATCATTATAAATTAAGAATAAATAAGTTTTCGTGTAGCTCTTTACATGATATTCGTAAGATTTGATCGTGAGGTTGTTAGGTCCTATAGATACATCCACACGTAACATAAATCTTCGTATGTCAAAAAAAAATGTTGAAAAGTTTCTTTATATAGTGGACTTGATAGTTTTATCAAATATAAAAAATAAATAAACGAAAGAAAGTTATCGGCAGTATTGTTCTTCGTATCGCTCTTTGTATCTATCGTTAAATTCCACGAATTTGTAGGTGCGATCGTGGAGATTCTAATCTCAGTCCGATACTTCCTCTAAACGTAATTGCGAGCCAAGTGGACGGACCGGAAACCGCAAGCTACTTCTTCGATCCGAGCGCATAGTGGCTCCGAAAAACGGTGTTTAATGAAATTTCTGCGTGTCAACCTGTCAAACGCGAACTTCGTGCCGCTCAAAAGGCGAGGCTCACAGAAGGATTCCACCTTTCAGTGTGGAGGAACGCGGCTACTTCAAAGGAGACGGTTGCGACAGAGGCAGGAACACGCGTTGTTCCGGCTATGTCCCGTCCTATCTTGGCCTATCTGCGGCTACACCGTCGTACCAGCATTCGACGGTCTCTCGATTAACGGGCAAATTGGATCCTGGTCTCGAACCGCCCCGGGTACAGATGCATCGCTTCGATCCACCGCCATTAATTTCACCTCGACCTCTCCTGATTACCTTGTGCTTCGAGGATTACCTGGAACTTGGCTGGTTCATGGATTTCCGGCAACGAACGAAAGAATCCCCTGAATTTGGTCTGACCGCAGACTTATTGTGACTATTCGCTCTCGAAGCGCACACTACGATCTCATTAAAGCAATTGCTCCGTTCCTGGTTAACATTTTCAATCTGAAAGTGCTTGGTCCTTTCTGATGTCTGACTCAACTTTGATAAAGGGAGTTTTGGTCTTCTTTTTCGAAGGCGACGACACGTGGGTGGAGGGTGAGTTATGGTAGAGTTTCTTGGAAGGGTTGTTGGTTTCTCCTTTTGTTCATTTTTTTCTTAGACATGGTTGGGGACGGTTTATGAAGAAGGATGTCGGTTTAGTAGATGTTGTTGAGTATTTTTTAATATTATAATTGTTTGGAGAATTTGGTTTTGTCAGTTCACGTGGTTTGGCTGAGTGAATGTAATGGTGGTGACATCTGTGTTTGCTATCGCGTTGAGTAGATCTGACATCGTTTGGTTTAGATTCAATATGATACTATTCATTGAGTTTCTTTCACGATTGTCATAGTTTTGTAATTATCATTGTGTAACTATTTTGTTACGAGTTATATTAACGGATGAAGTTAGTAAGACTTAGAAAATAGAGAATCTTTACCTCTTCGATTTTAGGGAATCTCTGTGTTTTAGATTTGAAAGCAGCATGATAAACAGCACTCTTCTTTTCTTCAGTTTTCTCTGGAGAACACGCATTATTATAATCCTCTTCGTTTGGATAGGAAATTGTCTCGAGATAAATCCGTGGCTGCAGCTGTCTTAAATAAGCGTACCGGTAACGCTTCTCTGACTCGTATGCCAAGTTACCGACTTTCGAATGGTAATCGCTGGGTCCTAAAACAGAAACGCGCTTCCTCGATAAGATGCTAACAATTTCGACGAGTGACTGAGTCGAAAACATAACAGAAATAATAATAATAAATAAATTTTATAATAATGAATAAATAACAATGAATAAATTTTTTAATGGATAAATGTTTTACCTGGCCCAGTGTCGTCAGAAATTTTTGGAAAACGACCAACACAGGTGCCAAATGGCGCAGGGTAAATGGAGCCTGTACATTTTATTCGAACAGGAGAATCGTATTTACCTGGACCAGGTACATTTGATTCCGCTTTATCTTCGAATCTCTGTAATAAAGTATACATTTCTATAACTCGAAAATCTTCCGATAAAATTGTTTCCAAAAAACGAACCTTAGCAGTTTGACCAAAAGGGGGTGGTTCTGTGACGTAAGGGTCACACTTGCAATCGATCTTGAAGAATTTCTCGAAATTGCCCTTTACGTTATACGCATTTGGGGCTGGAAAATTCTATATTTATTTGAAAATTCTATAAAATTAAAATTCTATAAAAGTGTACTCCAAACATCACAATTGGCGAAGCATTTCAAAAACATACTTCAATATAATTTTATGTCCATATGATATTACCTCTCGGGCTTTTTTTCTGCACATTGTATCAAGGAAACGAGGCTGCCAAGAACTCATTCTCTTCGCTTCTCTTACTTTTTCATCTTGTGCTTGCGCGGCTGTTTTCTTCGCTTCGTGTTCGTAATCTCCAGGGCCTGGTGTCAGTGAGGGCGGAAGCTCGATTCTCCCTGTCATTCTGCTCCAAAAGTTTCCTTTGTAGAGCAATGTGGTGGCATTTGTTTCCTAAAAATTATATATTTTCTTTTTGAATATTCTTTTTATTCTACAAATTGCTTTATTTGGCTCGTGAACTTGTAAAGGAAAATACAGAGATTCTTACTCCTCGTGGGACGTTGTAAAAGAAAGTTGTTTTTTTTCTGAAGGGAGGGTTCTTTACTAAGCTTCCATTTTCGTTGATACTGTACGCCGTGTAATTTTTGTCTGGAATTGACGTAGGATTTGGAATAATCGAACGAGGAGGTCGAGTTAGCCATAGCTGCAATTTATTATCAAAATAAAATGAATACACAATACACAAGATTCACAATGCACAAGACATACAAAGATACACAAGTTTAGAAACTAAATAAATATGTTACTTTTCCTGCAGGTCCTCTCCAGGTGCCAGGATGACATCTTATTTTTCGTGACTTAATTAAATCTGTAGCTACGTGATAATCCACTGGACCTGGTCCTTCGGGTATCTTTTCCTTAAATCTAGCATCTGTAAAATCGATGCTGACTCCGCCCTGTAATTTATCATTCTTTCATCACAAAGACTTAGCTGAATTCGATCTCGATAGATATAATTTTTAGAAACTACGTTCTGGTATATGTCGTTGAGGTTCTTTTATATTGTACGTGCCAGGCCCTGGTAATCGTTCGGCATCTCTCGATATAGCAATAGTTCTCCTTTTTGATCCAGAGAGAAAGGGATAGCAATCAGCTGTGGAAATAATTTCATGTCATAACTTAGGATTTTGAAACACCGTGAATTACTTTTAATTATAGTACCAAGATGCCTTTTAGGCTCTGGCAAGTCCGATACATCGTAAGTTCCAGGTCCAATTTTAGGCGGTGTCTGAGTAATTAATTTTGGAAATCTTTTTGTTCTATCGTGTGCCATTCCCTCATAACTTTAAGAAAAAATATATACAGCGATGATGAAGTAGAAATTGTAACCTAATTAGCTGCACGTGTGGAACGCGTATGAACTGCGCTGAAAGTCGATCGAATCCAGTCAATCGAAATTTTTAATTCTCTAATGGAGCCCGATTATTCATTTTACTCCGTCAAGAATTCCACATATTTTAAAGATCCACTTGCTTTCGCTAATGAATCATCTTGGTGCAAGAAACATTATATTTGTTTGCAATAATTGTAACGGACGATGTATTCGCGCCCGAAGGACGCTGTTTTCACTTCTTTAACCTACTTTTTTACAACGTTCGCCTTGCATAAATTTTCGGTCAGGTCAGTTAATAATTTCGTTCTCGTTACGCGAAACCCATTAACGTTTTGACGCCGAAGTAAGAGATTATCGTTTGCATCAAATTGAAAACGATTCGCGGGCGCGCTTGCAATGAAAGTGAAGGGTTCTACGATGAACGACTTGAGTGTTTTGCAAGTTATATCTCTTATATTGCATCATTCAAGGAATGTTGCGTATCAGCGATCATAAGGAATTGTCATTCCATATAACATCGATTTCTTTTTTAAAAACCCAGTTCCTTTCGAATAATATTAAACTTGAAATTTTTGCTTCATATATGTAAATTACTTAATTCATCTGAGTTTCGTCGAAGGAGATATATCTTTTATAATAATTAGTTATATTAATTCTTTAATTTACTGTAGAAAAAGGTTGCGTCTTATCGATACACAGAACTAAATGACCCATAGATCATTGGAGAACGACGCATTCCCTTTAATACCAGCATTCTACGCTAGAGAGCGCCATGTGTACCGTTCAAAATTATGTTTGGTCGATAATTCGAGATGTTTCTCATTAAAACGTGGTAACGAAGTGCGTTGGTTTTCAACGTCAGTAGACGTTTCGTGTGATTTGTTCGTTGATATTAATTAAATATTCTTCTAATCTTGAAGAAAAATGACAAAGAACGAGGAGAAATTCGATGGAATGTTGCTGGCTATGGCTCAGCAACACGAAGGCGGTGTGCAAGAGGTGAGTTTTGTTTCGTCGCCACCTTAGGTTATGTTTCACTTGGAGAAACATCATTATTTTTAAAATAACTTTCCCATTATTAATGAAATACCGTTTACTTTGTAGCTCCTAGACACAATCTTCAGTTTTCTTGCGAGGAAAACGGATTTCTACACGGGAGGAGGGGAAGGAGCTGCAGAGAAGGTAATTGTTCGTCTATGACTTTAAACAATGTCGTGTGATGTTGTAAATGATTTCATCACTTCTTGTGCATTTTATAATTCACATTACGATCTTTGTATTTGACTGCAGCTTGTTATGAGCAAATTTAAGAAGCACGAAGCTACGGCTGTTACCAAAGCAGCTGGTGAAAAGGCAGAGCGTGCAGAGCAAGAGAGACGTCGCAAAGAAAGAATAGAAAAGAGAAAGAAAGAAGAAAAGGCTAAGGAGGAAAAGTTCTACTCAGAGTCAAAGATTGTCGAACTGACTGATGAACAGGCTGTTAAGTTACAAGAAGAGATAGACAATAAGGTATGCAATTATGATTAGCAAAATTGAGATTATATTAAAGAAATTATTTTGATTACACTCTGCGGTTCTGGTTACAGAAATCGGCAAAAGAATCACTTGCTGTTCCTGGTCCAAGTGGTGATAATGCGCATAATGGTCATAATGAGCATAATAGTGATAATGCGCATAATGGTAAAAATGAGGAAATAGAAGATGAGGAAGAAGATGAGAAGGAAAAGAACAAACTTCGGCCTAACAGTGGAAATGGCGCAGACTTGCCCAATTACAGATGGACTCAGACACTTCAGGATTTGGAGGTAAGTAATATCATGCATGTAAATAAATTTTCGATTTCTTATTCTCTGAAATATTTTTTTGACATCAAAATGGCAGAATGTTTATTAATACACAGTATAAAGGAAGTCAATCTTGTAATCTCTTATATTTAGGATCATGTAATGTATTTGTTAATACCATTTCGTAGGATAACCTTCTATTTTCTTAAAGATTATCACGTTTAACTCCGGAAAAAGTCGTAAAATATAAAATGCTCTAATTTATTTGTTTTATATTTTACCGTATGTTTTTAGAACTGAACTTTTTCGAATATCTAACGATACGATAATAACTAAACAATAATGCATTATGCAGTCTTAGAAAGTACTTTTTTTTTCGTCTATCACTGTTAGAAATATCTTTCTACATATATTTGTTTTTTAGTAAAAGAGAAGAAGCAAATAGAGTATCGCAATATATAATAATATTAGGAGGATAGAAGGGACAGGGGTGAAATAAAACACATCCTGATTTTCTTCATGGTTCGACAGTTTCTTGTTGAATCGACGATTAATTAATACGCAAGTAATATCACAGTTTCGGGTCAGCGATCGACACGATCGCTGCTCATTGCTTTTCCGTACATTCCCTGGAACACGACACCCTGGCATGCGGAATCCAGGTTTGATTCAAGCGTTCTTTCTGTTAGTAACAATTAAATAACGACCCCTAAAAATTAACACATATCCGCTTATCTTACTCCCATCTCGTCGATTGTTCCGAACCGTCAACGTTAATCGAAGAAATACTTGTGCGTATGACTTACTAAATGTTTCGCTGGACGACGACTTGTCCAGCTTACAATTAATATTTTCCTTTTACAATCTTATCGTCCTTAAATCTAATTTAAATTAGATTTAAATCAGAAATTTACATTTCAGAAACATCTTAATTTAAATTTAATTTAAATTAATAATTTTCACAAATCGATTCAAAGAAATGATGATTCGTACATTTTATTTAATACGTCATCGTCTGATCTTAATTATAGAAAGGGAAGGATAGTAGAAGAAATATTGATCGAATTTCGAAGGACGCGGATCGGCCTCCTCGCCAGATAATCGAGTGGCTCAATTTAGGAGTTAGGATCGCATTCGTGCTATTTATACGGCCTTACCTAAAGCTAGCTCATTACATGAATGTAATTACTGAGTTTTCACGTACCGCACGTCAAATACGGTGCAATACAGCCTTTGAAACTTTGTCTCTGACCGAGAACGTCTAATCGAGTTGTCCTAACGCTCTAAGTGATAATATACATATACATTATAAATACGAATAATTCCATCGATTGTAATCGACAATCTTAATATCAAATGATTCGCAGAGATCGATTCATCCCTGATTCCATTCTTCAATGTTGACTCGCAGTTTGCACTCTTTTGTCTCGTCGTTAGCATAGTCTTCTACAGGATGATCCCACGATCGCTGCATTCGCCAATTTTTATAGGCCTAGTGGTACTTGTCGCGAATTCTCACTGTAATCAGAAGCAAAAAGCACCGGAGACTGGTGGAGACTAGACTTAAAAACATTCGGTATGGGTAGCATTGTTAAAAGATTGAAGAGCCTCTGAAGTGGAGCTTTTGAATCAATTAACATCACTACGAGTAGTACTCACTTTCCATGTAGAGAATCCCGAGAAGCAGGCCGACCATGAATAGAAAGCTCATCGTGCAGACGAGCACGGTGAGCTGATTTCTCGCGCAGCAGGACTTCCTGTAAACGGTCGTCGGTCTGCCTAGGCCGTTCACTACGGTGAAGTGAGTGCTGCTCGCAACCGATGCGGTGTCCATCTGTTTCGGCGCCGTCACCGTAGGCGGATGAATCGCCGCGAGATTGGCTAGGTTAGCGGCTGTCAGAAGTAACGTGCCCGATGCGGCACTCTGTAATACAAGAATGTTATTTAATCGCTCGGTTATTGAACTTTCTACTTGAAATTGAATAATTGGTTAATTTCAGTCTCCTGAATGATTAGTCTTACACTTAATGATTCATTAGATTTATTGATTATATTAATTTAATTTTGTGGGGTTGTTATGGCTTCTTAAACCTCGAGACTTCTGATACCTAATCTTTTCATTTATTTGTTTAGGTTCAATGGTTACATTTATTGATTATACTAATTGTACTTCTTTCTAACATTTATTAGGATTTCTGAATTCTTTTACAACTTTAGAAACCTAAATCTGTTCACATGAGGATAATTTAACCGTCAAAATATCAAGGTAGGGTGCTCAATATTCCTTCAAAGGATCTCATGTTTTTCCTCATAATTGTATCAGTTTATATTATCTTATTTTCTCATAACTGTTTTTCCAGTGACTCTGACTAAGAATTATGAATATTATTTGCTATAAATCTTCACTCATCAAATAAGTCTAATTGTAGTCATAGGTGTGTTACATTTACTTTATAATTTTTAAGGTACCAAGAATTAATTTCAACTAGCTTTTCATTTACGTTCTTCAACGTCTTCTAAACTCCAAATACATGATCTATCGATGCACGCTTACGTGTGTACTGGCAGTGGATCCTTGCGACGAGGTGGATCCTCTGGATGGCGAGTTTGGGTGCAGATGATGAGCCCAGCTACCATTTTCGCTATCCCTCTCGCTTCGTCCCACCAAGGACGGCCTTGGGATGTGCCAGGAAAGCGGGCTGCCCGCTACTGCTGTCGTAGCCGCCGTCGCCTCGATCTGAAAGCAACGTAAATCGACGTGAAGCTTTGATTGCATAAGCGATAATGTCGCGGCGATTACGCTTCTGCCTCGCCCGCATGTCCTCCACCTGCAACCGCGTGTTGTTTATCTCACGCCAACAGAACATTACTCTATATGTATCCACCACGTTATCTGAGTTTCATCTGTTCGACGAACAGGCTCGTGGTCCGATTCGATTGACCAATCAGCAGATTAAATAGCTGTTTAAACCTGCTGTATTATATCCTGAGCGAACGTTCTTTGCAAATGTATCTAGTCTTTTTTACTAATACGATTCTATTTTACAGTCGTGTAAATTGTACGTCGATGATATACTAATTAACCGACGAAACAATTGGGAACTTTGGACACATAGACTTTCTCGTTAACCAAGTATTGTATTCATTCGCTTGTTTCCTTGTGTTCGCGTCATAAGCAAGTTTTACATACCAAAGAACGTTGTTTTCGAAAGGCTGTCGCAATGGCTTATTGTTCTAGCTCGGTCCCATCTGCGGGTATCCGTATCGCGCGTTTCACCGCATCGAAATACCAGCGGGGATGATGTACCGCGACCTAACTAAATCGTACACTCTTCGCTTCGATCGAGTTCACTTCAAACAAGAGAAGAGAATAGAAGAGGAGTGGTTATCGAGGAATGGTTCTTAGAACGAGTAATCTTTCTGTAATATTTTCCTCACAACAGACATATACCTTCTAGAAATGTTTTATTCTATACTGAATCTTCATCTTTATTCCGTTCTTTAGACTTTTATTTATCCTTGCGGCTTTCAAACTCTAATTTACCCCTATGCTCTTCAAACCCTCATTCACGTCATCTTATGTGTTCTTTTCTACAATCACCTGATTAACAAGAAGGATTTACACACCATCGTATTTGTTGTGTGCCAAATATGATTTAGTCGGTCAATAACTTAGTAGCATTATGAGTTTCTTCAGAAGGGCACCAAGAGACTTCAGCTCCTCGCATATCCCAGTTCGAGTTTTGGTCATTTTAACAAACTATTACTGAGTATACCAAATAATATTAAACGCCATCATCTATAATACTCTCATTTCGAACAAAAATGATGCACTTTGCAATGGAGCAACGTTCAGAGCCGAACGAGTCCTCGATTGCGCTACCACTCGGAGCTCGAAGGAAGATTTTCGGGGGACCAAGCTCCCGATATTCCGGTTTGATCGTTGCACAACGCTGGTACTCTCGAATTCCTCTGTGCAGCTCGTTGCTTCGAATATAATTCTCTGGTCGCATCTTGGTCGTCTTCGTTGTTGTCTCGTCGTGTCGTCGTGTGTTTCCTCGACTCTTGAAGCATGCCTGGAGGTGTACGGCCGCGAAACGTTTTCAGGGCCAAGCCGGGGATAGCAGCGCGAGCATTTCCGCGACTTTGACACTGGCTTG